TGCAGCGCTGGCGGCTGCGCCCATCCCCGCGCGCTCGGGCCGCTTGCTCTCCTTGCACCGGGGCAGCAGCAACGCGGCGCCTCTCGCTTGTGCGCGGGAGGCGCGGAGCCCCCACGCGTGGGAAACTGCCCTGCTCGCGGCCGCACTCGCATCCCGTGTGCGGCGCAGACCCCGCGGCTTCCCCCGCGTCCAGCCCTCGGCGGCGTTGCAAAAAATGTTTCTTTTTCAAACCATCATATATATATTTTTTCACACAAGAGAACGAGACGGGGCTGGGGAGAGAGAGAGAGATAAAACCTCAGCTGAAGTGCCAGCGTGATTTATGAGGCAGTGGAAAATATTTCATAAAGATCTCTCGGAGATTCTTCACTTAACCCGTTAGAAAACAAAGGGTCTGTTTCATGACAGAGCAGCCGAGGGCTGGGGAAGGATGAAGGCGGAAAAGAGAAGAAGAAGAAAACGTATTTCAGGTGATGATAAACTCCGAGTTGGAGAAAAGAGCCTGGGCTCAGAGGAACTTCCAAATTGCCTCTTTACTTCTGGTTATTGCCCTCAGAAGGCGTTTTCCTCCTGCTTCGTGCCGCCTGCCTAGGTCAAAGCCACATCTTTTTTTTTCTTTTTTTTTTTTTTGTAAGTTGCAAACCATCTTGTGAAGTAGTGCCCAATTCCTACTCTAGCGTTAAAAAAGAAAGGCAGTGAGGTGAGAGCGATAGGCCGAGTTGGCTTTTCTTGTCGCATACGTGAGCGAGGGAAACTTTGCAATCACTGAAATGGTCCCAATCTATTGGTATAAAAAGGTGCAAGAAGGTCTCTTCTCTCTTTCTCTCTCTTTTAAATCTTTCTTTCTTTCTTTCTTTCTTTCTTTCTTTCTTTCTTTCTTTCTTTCTTTCTTTCTTTCTTTCTTTCTTTCTTTCTTTCGCTGTCTTTCTTTCCTCTCTCTCTCTTCTTCTCTTCCTCTCTTCCCCTCGTTCCATTTAGTCTCTCCTTCCTTCCCTTTTCCTCCCCCCACTTCCTCTTCCCTTTACCCCACCGAGTTTCCCACCAAAACGCCTTGCTTGCCCCCCCACCGCGCACCCCTCCCCCGTGGGAGCGCGAGCAAAGTCTCCAGCGCGCGGGCAGCAGCGAGGGCCGCGCTCCGCGCGCGTTAACTGCGCGGCTTCAAGGGCCGGGGCCTGCGCACAACAAAGCGGGCCCGCGGCGGGGCTCGCTCCTCGCGGGCCGCTGCGCGGGGCCGCCC